CCACCCCAAAACCCCAAAACCCCAAAACCCCGTAAAGCGTTATCTTAAAATAAATAGAGATCATATTTCTAGAATTATCTTTAAATTCTAAATTCGTTTTAAAGAACAAATTAATTTTAAAATGGAAGACAACGATGAAGGATTTACTTAGGAATTCGAATTTGATAATGGAATGAATTTGATAGTAAAATAGCGCAGCAGTATCAAAGAAGGGGGCGGAACAATATGGGATGCAGCTTATGTTTTAATACATTTTTTCATGAAACACCCAAAAGGACTCTAAGATTTTATGGTGTTAGAACCTCAAAAATCCTATACGATGGTAGAATTAGGCTCAGGAACTGGAATAGCTGGTCTTGCATTCGCTAAATTATTCCCAAATTCAACTCATTATCTTACTGAGTACAGCCTGAGTAGTTTGAAATTAATAGACGAAAATATAGATCTCAATAAACTAAACAAAGATCTAGTGAAATCATGCACCTTAGAGTGGGGAGTAGAATAAGCAAAATAACTAAAATAAGATTTGAAGATTGGGAAGGAAAATCATAAAGATATAGATATTATTATAGGTTCTGATATAGTTTATCTGGCTAAATAGTTTGACGATCTACTTTAGTGTATACTAGAACTAGGTACATAAAATCACACAAGAGTGATATTTGGTGCTACTGAACATGGCAATTATGGACTGTTTCAGAAGAAATTAGAGGAATATTAGGATAAAATAAAGATTACTTATGTCAGCTTGGATTACCTAGATGACTAATTTATGGCAGAAGACATCAAAGTATTTATTATGGATTTGATTTGATAACTTAAACTCTTAACTTTAATTAATATGCTGATAAATTGATAAATATTTGATTACTAAATTATAAAATTAAAATGAGTCTCATTTTTATAATTAATTTTACTAAAACCTTTTCTAATTGATTACAATTCAAATGAAAGGAATATTAAGTAATTATGAGCTCATCAAAACCATTGGAAAAGGGTTTTATTCAAGGTAAGTATTCCTAATTCTTACTGAGTTCGCCCTCTTGATGCCCTTTATTCTAATTTTTCTAAATTATTAAATTGCTCATCTTCGAAGCGGGCTTATACCCAATTAATGAATAAAAGTTTAATCTTTATTTGAAATAGAGTTATGCTGGCCAAAAATATTCAAACTTAAAAGTTATACGCCATAAAAATCATATCTAAGGATGATGCGGAAAAGGTTAATCTAGCGACGTTCCAAAGAGTTCTAAAAAACGAGGTCGAAATCTTACAGAAACTTAATCATCAGAATATCATCAAGCTAGTTGAATTCAATCTAGAAGGTGACATCGTATTCCTAGAAAATGGAAAACAAATATTAGTATTCTATATTGTGCTAGAGTTCGCTGAGGGAGGTGATTTGTTTGAGTATCTATGTGTAGAGGGTAGAAGTTTTTCAGAAGAGGTTGCTAGATATTATTTTCAATAACTGATTGACGCTATTGAATACTTACATAATACATAGGAGATTGTTCATAGAGACTTAAAGATCGAGAACTTGCTTCTTGATAAGGACTATTAACTAAAAATTGCTGATTTTGGCCTATCAATTAATAAATACGGCAATTATGGCTTAGGCGTAATGTTCTCAAGAGTAGGGACTAGAAATTATATGGCACCTGAATTACTTGAGAAGAGACCATATAGGGGCACATCAGTCGACATTTTTGCAGCAGGAGTTGTTCTATTTATTATGGCCACAGGTACCTGGCCCTTCGATAATCGAGCAAATACTTTGGATAAGCTTTATAAATTCATAATAATGAAAGATTATGAAGGATTCTGGAGAGAGTGGGGTTAAAGTGAAGATGCTCAAAAATCCCCTAATAGGGTATTATCTGAAGATTTCAAAGATTTAGTAGTTAAACTATTGGCTTATAATTATACTGATAGACTTATAATTGAGGAAATCAAAGATCACTAATGGTTTAGAGGTGACTTGCCCACTCAAGACACACTAAAGACTGAAGTAATTAAACTGAAAATGCAATCAGTTAATTAAAGAATTGCTCAAGAGATAAAACCATAGATGTCTAAGAACAAATAAACTTCTAATTTTAATTCAGGGAGGGAGAAACCTAAAGGAATAATGAGAAATTACAGCCATGACATCAATCATCATCAGGGTGAGAGAGGCATTAAAGATGATAATCTTATCCAGATAGAGACAGAGATATCAAATGACGTAAGCTGCATCTCATCAACTATGAGTTCAGACATCGCAGACATTAACAACGAGTACAGTAGCGGACTGATCGGCTTCTTTCAGTCTTTAATTGGTTACAATTAATGGTATTGGCTCTACAGCAAGATGCAATGCAAGAGAAATCAACTGAGAATAAAAAAGAGGACAATTCAAGAACTAGATTCAGATTCAGCAAGTGATCATGAACAATAATGATGAAATTAAAAGTGAGTTGACGACTGAAAAATCAAGATTATTCGTCATTTATAAACAAATTAAGACTAGACATATTTAGAATGTACAGAAAAAGGATTTATACGATCAATTTTTTACATGCTTTATCCATATGATCACCTTATAATTGTTTGATTAAACTATTAAACTCTATAAATATACTTTAATACTTAATTTATCAAAAATTACTGACATTGCTACCCTGTTTCTGCGCAAATTTTATGTTGGGGTTTTGGGGTTTTGGGGTTTTGGGG